GTTTTCGGCCATGCTTGAGTAAAGCATAAAATGCCGAACAGAACTTTGAAACGTCGCAATGAATTTAACCTGAGCTACAAACTTTTTTAATGTATGATTGCCCTAGCCCTACAGCCCCACGCAGGACAATCCTTCACTGCTCGGCGTTTCCCTGGTGAAGGAGCGCAACAAGGTTGCAAAATTGACTCTTTTTTGTTTTCTTTTTCACAAGAAAATATTCTTGCAATTTTTATCCAAAAATTTTTGGTATTTGAGAAAGATTTGAAAAAAATATCAATGCAGTTCTGAATCAAAAGTCTCCAACAGTTCTTGAGTGAAACCCAAATTGCGAATTAAAATTATGCAACATTCACATGTACTTACGTCCTTCTGTCCAGGGAATGACGTTTTTTTGTAAAGCTCCACGGAGCCGCAATCTTAAAAAACTCTAGGAAAATTCATGAAAGTCGGAAAATTCTGACGGTGGATTACGAAGTTCCCGTCGAAGTACGCGAGGCGTGATGTAAAGAGAGTCGCAGACAATTATGAGTGCTGAACGGCGTTGAGTGCGAAATAATAAGTCGAGGACATGAACCATCATACTTATTCCCTGTTCATCTGTCTGACAATCAGCAACAGACTTTTGTCCGCGAGGACTAGAATAAATAGTACCTCACGCGGTGGGCCGTGCGTGCGCCGCACACTGGTCCGAGCGAACAGGAGAAGTCGGACAAAATTTGGAAACTTTAAAAGCTCATAACTCCGGTTCTACAAAATTTTGAGGTCTTAAAAATGGCCCCATTGGTTTTCTCGTAAAATTCTCTTTACGAACCACCCCTCGTAATTTAAAATATGACGAAATAAACATCTAAATTTGTAGTTTTATTCGAAAAATTCATGTCAGACCTCTCCCATTGATTCGGTCCATTGTGCGCCGCAATAGACCCATACATTTTGAGTTCATCCTCAGCCCTCCGAAAAACGCACAAAAACAGGTGTTAAGTCGGTATCAATTTCATGTCACTGTCTCCGGAATCCTTTCACGAGCATCTCTGCTTTTCGCCACTCTGATTTCAAACCCTCTTCAATATGAACCCATATCTTCAGAAACGGAGCACGTTAATTTTCCGATGAGCCGCTGACCTCATATGAACCCATGTATCTTGAGGCTCCCAAGAAGACGGGGATATGCCCTTTGTAAAAATGTGTCCTCGAATCGTTCTCATGAATATTAAACTCTCCCTCTCCCGAATTCCGCAGACATCGCACGGGCATTTCAATTCGCCTAAGGCTCCCACTTTTTCGTTCTTCATTTCAATTGTAATCTTTTTTTTTTGTTTTCCACTCGTACTCAAATGCTCGCGCTCTAATGTGAAATGGTTATTATTATTTTTCGTTTCATTGTCTTCCGATGGGGTAGATCTCTGTTCCGTCTATTGTTCTTCGTTTCAGTTAGTCACGGCTTACGTTGCCCACCAAAGTTACTTAAAACTGAGATCTGATGATAGATTCTTATCTTCGGGAGCCGTTAACATCGACGAAAAGAGCTACTTGCTCAGGGCTTTAATTTATTTTCCTATCTTGTATTCGTGCATTTATACTTGTGAATCTTCCCAGGAATTGTTCTTTCCGTTTTTTTTTCAGTATACATATGTCATGGGTGAATCAGTCGCCTTAATCAGTTTTGAACAATTTTGCATTTATATTATTATCACACTTGGCAATGTGAAAAGTAGTTAGGCTGTCTCTGCTGGATGCAGTAAATAATCAGGAGAAGCTTTTAAAGTGCAACCAAAAGTAGAAATTTTAATGTTTTGATTTCATTGAAAAAGTGCATTAAAAAATCCGCCATCGTTCTTAAAGAATTCGAACTATTTTTTTAGGACTACTTACATCCTCTCCTAATTCAAGATTGTACTCAGTAAAGTCGCGGTACGAACAACTTTGTGATCATTAAATTCTGATGACCAGGAATAAAATCCTCAACGACATTAATACTGTCTTGCTAAGAAAAAACGCCATATGAGCCTTCAGACGTCGCCAAATCTCCCTTGATAATACACGAATTGAGGAACGTATGAATGTTTTTCTTTCAAGCTCACCAGATAATTTTATCTGCAGTTCGATCAGAGGTATCTGAAAAATGCAAGTAAATACACAGAATGTCTAGCATCAGGATTTTCCCGATTCTATTAGGAGTTGAGGTAAATCAGGATTTAATCCCGATTTCATCAGGATATGAGGAAAAATCGGTCGTAAAATCAGGATTTGAGAAATCGGCCGTCTGATCGGATTTTTTTATCGACCTAGTTTTGTGAAGTTACATTCGCCTCCCCAAAAAATCAGGATTTGGAAAAATTATGAAATCAGGATTTAGCAGTAAAAAATCAGGAAAAATCAGGATTTCTCGAAATGAAAAAAACAACTAGACACCCTGATACACTTATGACGCACCTTAAAAATTAATTTTTTATTGGAGGAGATTCGGCAACATTCAAATGTTCATACGGCGTTTTTCCTGAGCACGGCAGAATAGATTACCTACTACCCCCATTTTTTCGGTGCGATTACCTCACTTACGACCCAGTATTCGAGTAATCAACATTTTATCGACTCCGGGAGTGATTCCCTTGAGAAAAAGCCCTTCGTTTTGCTAATGAGCCAAAAATGTGTCTAATACGCGTCTGAGTTAACTGCGATCCTCGGAAAGACCATCGACGAAGGACAGCGGAAAGTCAGTGAAACGTAAAACTCAACTACCGCCGCCGCTTTGCCGTAACGTGACGAAAATTAGCACTCGTTTCCCAGCTCCTGGTGCAGTAATACTCGCACAGTTTTTTTTATGAATATTTAACGATAATAATTAACCAACCGATTTATCCCCGACGAGAATCGCTTAAAATATTCATCAATACATTACTGCGTGTATGGCGTTCGCCTCTAATTTATTCAATTTTTATAATTAACTCGCTGTGACCTCTCCGGCCTTACCTCGGCCGGCTCTGCAATCGGCGTTTCCCGGGTCCCAGAACCGAATTCTCTCGTCTTTCTTCAGATTTGTGCGAATCCAAGTGGACTCGAGTTTTCAACTCTGTGCCTGGACCAGATTAGCGTGCCATCCTAGGTCTATCGACACTGGAGAAAAAGTCACTTGGATATCTAGAGTTTAGACTCTTAAAAACATTGACAAGAAAAAATACTCTTGACTCAATACGATTTTTCCGTGAATCGAAGAGTCTCTTGATTCAGGCGGATTTCCTTTTGAATCAAGCAGAAAATCCAATTGTATCAAGAGTATTTTTTTCTTTTCAATGTTTTTAAGAGTCTGGACTCTAGATCTAAGCGACTTTCTCTTCCAGTGAATACAATGCAGTGTTACATTGAATCAGTTCATTAATTTTATGTGAATTATACATTTTCGTAGAATTTAACTTTTCGGAAATTTTTAAGCTAATACCTATAAAGGCCTCCATCCTTAGTATAAACGTTAATTTGTATTTTTTGGCCTAATATTATGAAGATATGCACCCAGCCAATTTAATTGATTTTTGGGCACCATGCAAGCAATATAATCTCTTCCTAAACCTATTCCCTTTAAATATTTTAAATGATTGTTCAGTTTTGTATTGCCACGCACGAGGCATGCCCCCAAGAGCGCGAAGCACCCTCCACGGATTCGACTGCTTATCGGACAGGAGTTCCTGCTAGAGCAATATAAAAATGTAAAATAAATTAAAACATACAAAAATACGTGACTCTTGACTGCTTCGAGACTCATTCGTGTCTCATATCCAGGTTATTTTTTCAACGTCATAGTGTCTCCAACGCGGTGAAGCTGAAAACTTTCTTGCTCATAAATTAATTCTAATTATTTTTCGTCTCCTTCTTGTGACGTTTGACGATTGATCATTTTTAATTTTAGCCTCCACGCAAGAAGTAAATGCGTCAACGGACGACCTTATTTACTTGGCAAGTTCTGACGTAAGAACTAGCTTCCGACTTTTTATCACCCTTGACTTCAAAGTTTCTTTGTAACTTTGCATAAGTACAGCAGTTTTGAAGAGATACTCTACCACCACGCAGATGCAGTCTGGCATTTCTGCCAGAATTGCCTTGGGAAACATTTCTTCGGGGACAAGGGGGACATTTTTAACATTTCGGAAAATTTTCGATTTTTTTTTCGGACGGCTCATTCGCGTTTTTACTGAACTGAATCACTCTTCTCACAGAGTTGTGAAGAAACATAATGACCATTACCGCCATGAAAATGCATTTAAACCTACCTTCTCGTGTCCAGTTGGAACGAGTTCAATGAAACCAATCCGGTTCCTACAGAGCTACTTCCGAGGAACAAAGTATTAAAGTTTAAAAATGTCATGCAGTCTTGTTCAATTGTAATTTCAAACAAGAATAAAGGAAGAGTCAAACATATTAAGCGCATTCAAGTATAAGACTTTTCCATTCTCTTGTTTGATTGAATATTATATGCTGAGTATGATTGATGCTGACTTAATTTACTGGGAGGAAATATTTTTAAACAGCACGAACCGCGGGTTCTTCGAACAGATAACTATTGCACACGCAGTGCGTTTTCTTACCTACCTCAAAAATTGAAGGCGGAGTAGAAAAATAGTAATGTGTGTAATCTCTGTACCCGTTTCTTGTCAGTTCTGCTTCCTTGAAAAGTTAGATTACACAATTAAAAATCAGGGCGTGAAATTTGGTGTCAAGAGTCTGTATAGCGCCATATAACGTGAAATCAGCACCCTAAAAGCGAGTATAATACTCCGCAGAAAGAGTATATTCCGTTCCGTAATAGTGTAAGTCATTCCGTGAGAACAACAGATTCCGCTTCACATTCGTATCACTCCATGGGGTTGTTAGGCGCTGTATAGACTCTGGCACAGATTTTCATCATAAAAATTTAAACAGTGTAATTTTAACTAATTTGCATTCGAAATTTTTGTTCCGGACATCAGTGGTCAAAATGTGCTAATTTTGATGTTTTTTGTTTGTTTCAGGGCCACAACAGTACCGGGAGGAACTCCGGGTTTGTTCACGTCCCAACTCAAGGGGACTAACGGTGTGATAGGTGGCGGGAGCCTGGACGGCGCTCAGCTGACAGACTTCCCAGGCCTGTTCCTCCAGCACCACCCGGTGACGTCCATCAAACGGGAGCCGGAAGACCTGAGCCACCGCAACAAGCAGGCCAAGGGCCGCAAAGTAGTACTGGTGACCACCTCCGGGCAGCCAGACCTAGTCGTAGATGTAGCCAACAATAGTAGTAATAATAGCAATAACAACACGAATAGCAATAGTAGTAGCAATAACAACAACACAACGGTCAAGGAGGAGTTCATCTCGTCGCCGCAGCATGGAAGCCGCTCCATGAACGGGACCCCCAGTTCCACCTCCTCGCTCATCGTGCCGGACATCGGGCCGCCGTCCACCCTGGAGCTAATCGCCACCCCCGACGGACTGAAGCCGGCCAACATGGCCTACAGCACGCACATCTTCACGCCGCAATCTCACGCCGGGAGCGGGACCCCGTCGCCGGTCCCCTACTCGGAGCACATCCAGTACACGGCCTCCGTCTCGCAGGGCGTCAGCGCCGGCTACATCACCACCTCGACGACGGCGCCGCGCAACACGGCCTCCAGCTTCGGCGACCCCTACTATAGGGACTACTTCGCCGAGCAGAGCCCGTACGCGACGCAGATTCGGCAGCAGATCCCGGCCTACGCGGACAGCCCGGAGAACGCCGGCGGGCTCTCCACGGCCACCACCTCTTTCGTCGAGCGCTACGTCCGCCAGAGCACCTACCACAACAGCAAGGGCGTCATCGCCGCCGCCGGACTCACTGTTGATCTCCCGTCGCCGGACAGCGGGATCGGCGCCGATGCCATCACGCCCAGGGATCAGGCAGCAATCCACCAGGTCAGTCAACCCTCGGTCATTAATTCATTATCAGAAGCCACACAGTGGCGTGGCGTCCATAGGTTCGCAGTGTTCGCCGAACACCCTAAAATATTTTGAAACAATTAATAAATTATGGCTAAGAATGTGGGAAGCAATACAGAATACAGAATAGTAGATCGCAAATAAGTATCGGGTGCTTGGCTTCCGACAGCGGCATGTGGCGCGGCGGAGAGAGAAAATCCTGTGACGCGTGGTCCGCACCGGCTACCGAACCTAGATGATCTGCGTACGGTCAGGAGAGAGAACCTGGGTGCAATGATGAAGGGGCAAAGGGTACACGAGAGAGGAGAGGCACCGGCGCGCGGCGCAGAGCGGAGCGTGAGCATTGGGTTCGGAGACGAGTGCGGACCGCGCTCGCGTAGAGAACACAGCAGAGAGAAAAGGGAGGGGAAAACAACGAGAGAGGAAAGCCGCTCATCAGTCCAGCTGTTTCCTATAGCCGTGGTCCGCAGGGGTTTGCGAACCACCGAATTTCCTCTATGCCGCGATTCGCCCTCCGCTTCCCCCCCTGCGCCTGCGGGCCGCATCTCCCAGTTTCCCAGTCTCCCTCTCCCACCTCTCTCTCTGCAGGTGCGTGTTGCGAAAATACGTTATCATTTAACAAAATAAATTACAGGAAAACGATCGGTAAAAAGAACAAAATTTCAATGACAATTTACCGGCACAATTTTCACCAGAAAAGGTTAAAATCGTGTTCTTGCGGCTTCATTTTTTAAAAAGTTTCCGGGGGAGGCCCCCCAAACCCCCCTCTAAGGGAGGGGAGTGAACATTTCTGACCCCCTCCCCCCTGAAGTTAACACTCCTACCGAACGCCCACCGGATATAGTCACACCACGCCACTGAAGCCACACTGCCGTTCTGAGGAACAACGCCGTATGAACATTCGAGAATTGCTAAATTTCACTGGGAAAAAAAACACATTGGATCTAGAGTCCAGACTCTTGAAAACACTGACAAGAAAAAGGACTCATGATTCAATCAGATTTAAGCTTAAATCAAAAGGAAATCCGCTCAAATTAAGAGGCTAGGTTCTTGATTTAAGCTTAAATCTGATTGAATCAAGATTATTTTTTCTTGTCGATGTTTTTAAGAGTCCGGACTCTACATCCAATGTGTTTTTATTCCAGTGTTCCCTTGATAAACTATGTATATTTGACAACATTCATGCATATTTTTCCGTGAAATTTTCCGATATTTTAGTTTAAATTTCGCACAAAACTGTCGAAAAAGTTTAGAAAATGATACTCACAATTTCCTAGTAATTTCGGTTATTATTGGAGGAATTTGGCAACATCTGAAGGCTCATACGGCGTTCTTCCTCAGCACGGCAGTACAGGATTTCAAGTGTTACGTTTTTCAGAGTACCGACATAGCAGTGCTCCCATTTCCCGGAACTAGTTCCGAATTTCGGATTTTCTGAAATTTTCCCGAATTTTTCCCGGAACTTTTTAAATTCCGGAAATGTTCCGGATCTTTTGCTTTTTCCGGAATTTCGTCGGAATTTTTAAAAAATCTCAGAAGAATTTTGGAACTTCTGACGGTCATAAAGTGGAAGAAATTAGAACCTAAAAGTTCCGAATCCCGGAATTTTTGACGGACATGAAATGGGGTGCTGCTACATGGAGAGGGAATTGGATTGAATTCTGGAATAAGGACCACTGTTCCTGGCTCATCCATAAAAGCATTTACCTGCATAGTCAAACTAATGGTACATTCTGCCGCTCCTCTGATATAAGGGCATATCTCGATTTCCCAGTGAGCCCTGTAGTCCATATAACTTAATGCTTTTTGGGACTCATTTGAAAATGGAGATACACCCTTACGTCAGAAGTGTGACGATATGTTGTGCCTTATTTTTTAAACATACAAGTAATCATCATTCTGACTTGAATTTCTGTGCGTATACTCTGCATTGGCCGAGGAAAATGCACAGAAACTTTTAAGGCATTATGTTGATTTGTTCTCCGGTAAAAAAAATAAAACTTGGGAAAAAAGCACGCAACGCGAGATTTAGGCAGGCCGATTCCCCTTAAATTAGATCTGTCCGATGTATCCATGGTGAAACTCGAAAACCGCATATCTGAAATTGCAACGTTATAAATATTCTGTAATATTTTACATTCCTGATAGTGCGACTGTTCAACTGTTCATAGTGTTTACGCCTAATTTTCTGCACCGATTAAAATAAATCCTTAGAATTCCATGCTAAAATGCAAAGTAAATTTCTTAGAATTCCATGCAAAAATGCAAGGTAAATTTCCCAGAATTCAATGCAAAAATGCGAGGTAATATCCTTCAGAAAAGTAAAATTTACGTATGGAGTTTTCGAAATGAACCTTGATCGAGGTACGTTATCTCGGAGTTTCACCGTTGATTTGTGGGTCGGCGTGGTATGGTCGTTCGCACTTCATCATTTTTTAATCCGCGATGATAAATCTGCGTCTCGTAATATATGTTGAATATTTTTAACTGGAGCAATGGCATTTCCTCTCCAACCCGAGGGCTTCGAAACGGTCAGACATCCGTGACAGGAAAAGACTCCCTAGAATCTTGTTTACGAACTGAATAATTCTATTTATGGACGTATTTGAACTAAAAGGAACTATGTCTCACGCGAACCCTATGCACATAGTTCCTTGTGGCGTAAATACGTCTATTGGACGTATTTATGCTAAAAGGAACTATGTCTCACGCAAACCCTATGCACATAGTTCCTTGTGGCGTAAATACGTATACGTCTATTTATAAGCTCATGCAGAGCGGGAAAGGAAGAAAAAATGGCTTTTGAATACCATAGCGCTGCTATCCGCGTCTCCACCTCTCAACCGCAAGTGACAAGGGGGGCCATTTCGACTAGGATGCTGAGAATCTGAAACCCGCGTCGGTTCCGAAATCTCTAATTTTACGTTGCGAGATCCCTTAATTTGTGAGAATGTCATTGCCATCGGTCAAGGTCCCGCGAGGTAGATCGGCCGCAGCGTGAATCAGAACGACGCTCATCCTTGCCGTTTGATAAGTTTTTGCCGTCATAAGCATATTTACCCGCTATTAACTTCCGAAAACAACTCGTCTAGCACGAGAATCGCTAGACGCGCGCTCATTCAATCATCTCGGATTAATTCGAGTTTTCCGCCTTCTCCCGCGAGCCGCGAGCCCTCCCATTTCGAGTGACCCCTCTGCCGTACTAAGGGAGAACGCCTTATGAGCCATTAGGCGTTGCCAAATTTCCTTCAATAAAAACCGTGTATTTACACTGAAAAAAAATCTCTGTGTATTTACCAAGAAAAGAGTACAATTACCAAGAATTCAGGGTTCTATTTGATCCCAGTTTTTTCTTGGTAAAATTACCATTTATGGAATTGGTAATTTTACCGAGAAATCTTGGTAAAATTATTGAACTTCTTCGGTAATTTTACTGGACCTTGGTAAAAACGCCAATTTTTTTTATCGATTGTGGTAGAATTGCCGAGATAAAATGGCAAAGTTACCGGGAACTGATTACCAATGATAAAAGTGGTATTCTTACCCGAAAAAAACAGTAAAACTACCGGTTTAGGTAAGCTTACCAGTCTGTCTTGGTAAAATTACCAATAACTGGTAAAAAAGTGAGATGGTAAAGGTACCAACGGACATTGGTAAAAACCCCGAGAATTTTTTTTCAGTGTACTGAGAAAATCGTGAATACTTTTTTTTTAAAATTTTTTAGACGATTTTATACGCAATTTAACCTAAAACATCCAAATATTTCAAGAAAAAATATGCAGCACTTTCCTCAAAAATACACTTTATATTCGGGGGAGATTTGGCACCGCCTGAAGGCTCATACGGCGTTCTTCCTTAGCATGGCAGCCCTCTCGTGCGCTACCTCGGCTCTCAAGTGTTTACTAATGGTTTTTTGAGTAGCCTCATTATTCTGCTCTTAAACTCAACCGCAGATGCAGATGCTCTGGGCACGAGCACTCCATAATACTCGCCTCTTTCTGCTCCTGCTCCTCGTGGGAGCACCCCCCCCCCTCCCCCGCGGTGCTCTATACTCAGCTCTTTCGCTGGGCAGTTAATCGATGTAATGAGTCAGATAAATCTTGCGAGATTCGATGCGATTCCGCGGGCTGAGGGGGAGGAGGATTTGGACCGTGGAAATTCAACTCGTTAACGTGAATTCATAGCCGGAAGTGAACATCATCAAGGTACCCAACCTGTTTTCTGAAATTCTCAATTTGAATACACTCACATGCAAAAATCTAATTGACTCCAGACCAATAGGTCCCGGGTTCGAATCCCGGTGGTGGCGACAAATTTTCACGGAACTGACGAGTGGATCTGCAGGAACAGATTCTACTCGACCTTAATCCCTGAAAATTTGAAAGCTGGAGAATGGATGTGCTAGAATCTCCCTGATGTCTACTGACAATAAAATAATTTCTATGTGAAAATTCATGTCTATAGATGGATGTGTAGATCCCTAAGTTACTAAATAAACAGGAATAGAAGCCAAATAACTTGCAAAAAGAAAAAAAATTCGAATCTTATAATACTAGAAAGTCACCTCTATTCTTGGTATTCAAAAATTTCCCCGAAAACTGGACATAAATGCCCAAAAGTTAAACGTCGAACTTGAAATAATAGTGTATCATATCGAATCGGTAATTTCCCCTGTTCTATGTGATATTAGTCCAAAATTAGTTTTTCTGAAAGAAGTGTCTGCGATTATGAAATTCAAAGAATGCATTTGAGCTGTCTTTACTGAAATGTGATGGTTGCCTTATTGTGCTCCTATCATTAACTTGGCAAAATGCTCTTATATTATGTTTATTATTGTCAGGGTTTGGTATAAAGAGACTTTGCACATTTAGGATTCGTTACAAATTTCAATAATTACAAAAGTTCATTACCGATAGCTATGTCCACCTCCACCAGGACGATACTAGTATTCTTATAGATGAACAAGTTTTGAACTTCAACACACTTATATGCACTTTTCGGGTTGATTAGGTGTCTTAAGCAACTATGAGAGATTTGTTATATGGGTGATTACTTTTAGTACAATGCATAACGTTTCACCATTAAAGATCAGGTAGAATACATGCGGCTTAGTAAGTTGTAATAAGTATATTTTCGAGAAAACTTTCTGCAACAGATGGCTTTCTCTATACACGACTTATTAGGTAACTGCAGTGAAGACTTTGGAAGGACAGTTAATACTTCATGTATGTTACTCAAATTTAGTAACCATATAATTTTAATTTAAGTATCCAGTCCCTCGCAAGTTTAATTACTATGCGGCCATCCATTACTTTGCAGGAGTATTCGTCGAAAAAAATAAATAAATAAATGATTACAGCTCTGTACCAACACTACTATGACTTCACTCATTTCAATTCAACCTTCACCCACCATAATCTAGAGACATAGTAAACAAAACTAATGCGCATCATACGATATTTTTAGCGAGAAGAGGAACTGTAATAACATCCCGAATTAATTGGGTGTTTACCGCATACGTTTAATAATTAATCCTCAATTTTATTCGGAATGGTGGAGGGAATCAATATCACCTGAATGCTGCTTGAGAGTCAAGGATGCCGAAACCGCCCAATTATTATAGCGATCTCACACCGAAGATTAAATTCGCCGCTCGTAGTTAGTTAATCATGAGGATGAGCAGGAGACCTCGTATCAAGGTCGGCGGTATGATCTCAGCTGACCAAAACGGAAAGACAGAAATACGTAACCAATTTGTATTCAATGGGTCCGTGGAAACTTTTGCTGCATGGGGCGAAAAAAGAGTTGTTGTTTCGTGAAAAATGGGCGCAAAAGTCACGGTAAGCACATTGGGAAAGTCTGAATATTATTCCTAATTGCACAATTTGCGTTGAAAATTTGTTCAGTTTAAGTTTCCCGATGCGAAAAGTGTACCTCATCAAAGACATAAGATGGGTTGTTAAAGTTTTCAAAATAATAAAAGCACTCGGCGGCAAATAAATACATTTTATTGTTTACATATTTTTATTATTATATTTATTATTTTTATATATTTTATATATTTATTGAAGCTGCGTAATTTTAGAGCAGACAATATAGGAAAGAAAGTTGAAATCGGAACCTAGGCCCGTCATGAGGTAAAGATGTTAACTTTCGTAGCCACGCGTTAAAGTCTCTCGGCAAATGGCAGGGGATATATCGAAAGTCGTCGCGACCGCTATGTCCAATCATTTCAGCGGTTTTAACCAAAAACTTTGTCAATTTTTACGATCTGAAAATTTGTTCGTTGAGGCTTTTTGGTAGCAATACGGCTACGCTCTTCTTAAAATTATTTTAGCAGTATGTAAATGCCAGGGCACCGTTCCAGTGTTGTATCATATCATTTTCATTTTCAATCAATAAATTCAATCTATGTTGGTCCTTTGAACACTCGTTAGTGACGTCTTATTTTTGCGTTTGATTCCAGTCTTTCGACTATGCAGACATGTGCCAACCGGGAGCATTGATGGACCCGGCGGGATCGCGGCCTGCCACGGCACCAAATCACCCGTCAGGGGGAAGATCTCGACCTTGGCACGACTTCGGCAGACAGAACGATGCCGACAAAATACAAATACCTAAAACGTAAGTAAAAATTTCCTACCTAAAGTTGATTCTCTCTGTCTTACTACCAATCTGACTTTGAATCAAACATTATCATGGTCGCCTTCAACTCTTCAAATAGGCAACCATCAGTTATTTTGAAGTAAATTAAGTTGCTAGTGTTTCAAAATGAAGGCACTCTTTGATTCGGATGCTGAAATAGACATCAAATCGTGACTGGCTATATGAGAATTTTTTGTCGATTTTTTGCGCCTGCGGTTGCTGTAAGATGAGTTGCCAAAATTGTATTTTAAAATTGCCAAAACGACCGCTGTATTTCACTGCGAGGGGAGGTAAAATACACCTGACATACAAATTTTATTTTTTATTTTTTAAAAGAGGATATGAACTTTACACCGTTGCATGAGCTAGTCTCATTTTTATGGCCGGTGGTTTGCTGTCGTTCCTTGAGTAAAGGGGTTTTTAAGCTCATAATAAAGCCGTACCAAGACAGTTTTGCTGGTTTTTTCCGAACATACTCTTCTGGCCAAAACAGAGCTTTCTATTAAAAAAGGGAGTAATAATGAACAACAAAGCTCTCTATTCCTTTGAAACCTTGATGGAAAGTGAAACTACTTCTTTTCTTCTCATCAAGAATACGGTTAAAAGTCAAGAACTCAAGAGGAAGTGTATGCATGCTTTATGAGAGTAGGCATCCTCAATAAATTTGACTCGGATTCAAATTTTTATAAGACACTTCAAAGTAAATCTCAGGAAGACGAATTATGTTGCCGTAAAAGTCTTCTCATTTCCATTTTGACAACGATTTGTAGGGGATATTTATTCAGGTGTAGAGGATGTCCATTCTCTTTTCTTTTTTACTTTTTTCGGAAACCGGTTGAGAAATAATAAAATAAACTAGGTTTAAATGTTATCAGATACTGGACACGAACTGATTAAAGAAGAGTATCGTGCCACATCTTCGAAGGCTGCTGATCGGTGTCGCCAAGTTAGCAAGAAAAGAATCAGTTCCAAGCCGTCGCACAATAATTTTCCATGAGAAAAAAGAGAATTAAAATGTCTCTTTCACATATCCGCAGTGTCGCCTCTTCGAACTTAGTCTCAGCTTATCGAGAGAGAGGTCATCATCCTTTTCTAATTCGTCCCCTCTTCTCTATTTCTCTCTCCTCCTCTCTCTGATTTTTGAAGCCTGGGGCCTCATTAAAATGTCATCTATTAAAATGTTCTCACCTGCCGAAATCAACGGTCAAGTGAAATTCCGCCTTCTTTGCCACAAAACCACTCCCGATGTTGTCAGTTTGTCATAATGTCCGAGTTGTTTCTGAAAGAAAGCGTGCATTGTATATTTCTCAAATGAGCCCCATAACGTTATCATTCTTATGTAGCCCTGGGTTCAACAGAAAATTACACCTGTTCTGTTCAGAAACAACACTTTCATGCTGAATCAGCATAGTAACCGTCGCATGATGGATGCCTAATTTCAAACGATTCTAAGAATTCCATTTTAATTTGTCGACTCATACGCGAATTTTAGAGAGAATGGTTTAATCCAAAAAATGAACTCTGATTTTTGAGACACGGAAATAAACGATGCTACTATAAATTTAGAGGGAGCAAAACGTATATTTTTTTTTGCTATACCAATCTCAGCAAAATCTTTAATCTCCAATCTTGAAGTTAAATTCGACAAAAATTTCATCATCGGACAATATTTTTACGAGTGAGCATTGACGGATCCAGCAAATTGGCAACATTGTCTTTCCTCCTTTTAAACCTATGGAAATGTATCGATTCTTGAAGGGGCCAGGTGCTTTGACAAGAATCAATTTTTTTAGCATAGGTTTAAATGGAGGAAATCCGGTGTTGCCAAATTGCTGGATCCGCCACCGCGATAGAGATGCTTGTAAATGTAATTTGAAACAAACAAAATCAATGCATGATCGAAGGGAAAATAATGATCAATTGAAAAGTCAATCAGTAAATCGAGGAATTATTTTAATCATTTTATCTTTATTTTATTTTACCAAAAAAATACAATTTTTTAAATTGTTGAAAAGTTACCAGCAATTTAAATTCAAGTGTTTTGGCCACTGATACGTTGAATTTTTCCGCCCCCACTCATAGAAGATAGTTTATCCCTATACTCACTTTTTCTTGATTTTTTCTTCCCCATGTGCAAAAATGATAAGGATTTGACAGAATCAGCACCATGAAAAGGGTAAGAAGTAGTTGCCAAGGTGGACTTCGCAACTCTGCTTTCCAATCACTATCCGCTTGGTAAATCAGACTGATCTTAAATCCGCCTTTCCCCTACCAAGAGTGCGCATGCGCCGTTATCCTTTGCTCCTTCCTGTCCTCCGAGGAATGGAATAAAAAAAGGAGGAAAAAAACTCCCGCGGCCCCCTTTTTTCAACCGTTTGCACTCATTTATTTTTGTCAACAGGATGAAAGACACTGACAAACATCCATTTATTATGTGCTGAACTTTTATACTCCTTGGTTCGGAGGAATTTCTCCAATATTATTGTGTTATAATCTTGTCCGTTTGCCCTCGATATGTCTTTCAAAACATTGATTTTATGATTGAATTCGCCACTGTTTTCGTATATGGTCAAGTATTTTCAGTAATTTTGAGACGGCGCTCCGCGCCATTGATTTTATGACCCATGAATTGTCATCGTAAAAATTGAATGAAAGTCGATTTTGACATTAAGTCAACTATCATTATCAATCACTGGAAAAAAAACAACTACAACGACTGTCACCATAAAAAACGGACAAATACGATTTTGTGTACTACATACATCGTGGTTTCCTAGGAAATGGGAGGTCGGAGAGCACAATCTGTAATGCTATCTATAGAGGCTATTGGTTGTGACGTCACAGTTAGGTCCCCAGAAAATAATGTGGCTTAACTCTTTTGAAATGGAGCCCTGTCAACCAAGCGTCCACAGAGCTGACTACAATTTGTATAAAATGAGAAAGAGCTCTGTTGCAGTTTATTGCTTTTAGGCCAATTGTCGATAAGTTGGTAAGGTCCCCTTATGTAAAAACGAGCACTCGATTATAGAGACCCCGCAATCCCAATCCTAGCAATGTAATCATAGATGTGATTGATGGTTGGCTGCCTTTTTGGACCCCAAAAAAAAAGAGCTCCATGTTTCAACATGTCCATACTCTCCCCATACACTAAAAAAAGCCGAATAGAAGCGGTGATTACGGACTATAAAGGCATACTGTTCGCGTTCCGGGCTCAGAAGCCGATAGTTCCGGAGGTAGCACCCGGAGCAGTCGAAGCAATAGCTCCAGCACCCTGAGCTCGGAATGGCCGATTTGTCCATATAGCCTATAACTTTTTTTTATATCAGAGTATAGGTACTCCAGTTCAGGGTCTCTGCTTTCCACTCCGGAATCAATGACGTCACACTTTTAGCATACTGATAAAGACGGGGATCGGCGGATGACGAAGAGGAAATTCCGATGATGGTGGTGCGCGCGATGCGGCCATGAGCCGGAATCTTTCCGTCGTCCCGGCGGTGGCACCTGTTGCAAAGCGCCTTGTCTTGGGCGTCGTCGTCGGCGAGTTCCGCACCCGCTCCGAGCGAGGAGGTGGCGCGAAGCGGGAGCAAGTGGCAGGAGGTGTCCGCCCGGCGAGCGAGCGCGGTATTGTACTTGCACCGAGTCGATGACGTGGAGTGACGGGGCCGGCCCGGCGACGACAACAACGCCGAACAATGAGTCGACGCGCCTGTCATAACCAAACCATTCCAAACGGATAAATAGTGGATAGAGCCGGCCCGGAGATTGGTCACAATTGTGTATTTGTATCGGCAAACTTGTTCGCCTATTGGCCGCTCTTCCATAGCGCTCGCCGCCCGCCCATCTCGGATCCATCTCCTTCACTTGTCGCTCCGAGACGCTCTCCTCTCTTCTCCCTCTCCCGTCCTGCGTTTTGTCCTCTGTGACTTGTGTCTTTTGTCTCTCCTCCTCTTCGCTCCTTCTTCTTGCTCCGCGCGGCCAGCGAGAAAGTTCATACATATTTCGTTCCTTTTCTCGCTACTTTCTATCGGTCCGTCCCCGTGTCTCCCCCTTCGCTCTGTCAACTTATCTCTTTATCTCTCCGTCTCCGTCTCGTCTTCTCTTGCCTCCGCTAATTAATTTTAATTGAGTATCTCAAATCCATTTTAATTTTTTCGCCCCTCCTTTTCCAATCCACGCCTTTGCGATTTTCTCTCGTTGGTGAAGATTAAAGGGGAACCATGACTGTTGTGTCTTTTCTCGGGTACACAATTCAGTGAGACCCAAGAATGATATGCTCTAGTATACTGTTCCCTTTAATGAGGAGTCTTTCGGAAATTGGCCGATCTCGTAAATGGTATCTTAAAGTTTGAATTTCTAGAATGAGTTACAGATTTAAATATGATTTTTCTGAAAATTATTGAATACTAAATCTGCGTATACACTCAGACTTTACACTTACTTCGTATTTTTATTTTTTGTTGTAGATATTCACAATATGGATTCAAATATCACCTAGAAACTCCGATCTCGACGAATCAACGAAGGGAAGATGACAGAGTCACGTATATTAATAAGGGTCAATTTTATGGAATCACGATGGATTACATACCTGACCCAGATAAACCTATAAAATCGCAAACTGTTAAGGTAAGTTTATCGTCAACCATTCGTACTGCCTGGAGACTTCTGGCATGCATGCATGAACTTACAAGTTGCGAGTTAATGTCCGTCCTGCGACATTGTTTAAATACGTCAGCTTTTAAACCAGTGCAGTTTAGTTGCCGAAAATCAACAACTTTTTGTTGTATCATTACATGTAAAACCAAGATTTATCATCACAAAATCACCTTAAAACTCACAAAAACTTGTCTCTTTGTCTTGGGTTTTCGTGATGATAAATTAAACTTTCAACAATATCCAGGATGTTCATTTTTGTCGCTAATTGTTTCTACATTGTGTACTTTCATTGTATGACTCATTTTATGAGTACATTGCGCGCAATGACCTGATGCAAGGTTGACCGATGAGGCATTTTCTTGATTTATTTAAGGCTGTTGAGTTTTTTTTATTAAAATTGAGAGTAGCCCTCCGTGCCTTCGAACTACTTTTTATTTTATTCGTTTAATATGAATTGGAACAAAAAACAATCATTATTGTTATGGTACAAGTTTAAAGAGTTTACAATTAATGTCAATATGTAGCCCTTTCTTCAGTCTTTCTTCATTAATCTTTTTCTTTCAATTTTTGAGACTATTTGTTCGCAATTTAATCTAAAACATCTGAAAATTTTAGGGAAAAATATACATAGATTTCGTCAAAAATACATGTTTTATCCGGGGAAATGTGGCAACTTTCGAATGCTCATACGGCGCTCTTTTTTAGCACGGCAGTATAGCAAGCCTGATTGGTAAATTTAAATTCGTTCGTCGTTAACACATTTTTAGCGTTGTTGAAAAACGATTTATTATCTTAAATTTCTTCGATGATTTACGTTGACAAACAGTTTGAAAAATCTCTGCCAGCCTCACGATTTTAAACAAGTCGGTCCAAGATATCTCAGCATCGGATTTCCTGACAAGTTCTGTATGGCGAAGGTGACGTCCGTGAGGTGATTAAAAAAGAAAACGTACCATCATTGTTTTCTTCTTTTTCCCTCGGTGCTTTGATTAGTATGGTATAACGCAGGCAGAGATATCTGCTCTCGTGATAGAATTCTAAATGCTCGATAGAGAGTAATTAATGCCTTAAGGTTTCAGTCATGCTTGGATCAATAAGCCAGTTTCCCAATTAGTCCACAGCGGCGAGCCAATAACCGTTTCCTCCGATGTCAATGTAAGTGCCCGCGACGCGACGTGGTGCAGAGTCCTGCCCTTCGACGGACGGTCAATGTACAGCATCAATCTCTGTTCAATTTCTCAGCATCTGCACCATCTAAGTCATTCACCTCGCGTCTCCGCGATACCTTCATTCAAAAGCGAGAGAGAGAAAAAAAACGTATCCTCGAGTCACAAATCTGTCGTGAAACTGAAAAAAAAATAATCGTGATACAACGCATATTTGAAGCCTTTCCTCAAATATAAGGAAAGTAATAAATCTTATGTACCGATTGTACTCTTGGGGAGGGTAGAAATTCTCCAAATTGCATGGCTGTCGAAAGTTTCGAGGGAATACTCCGTTTCGTGCCTTTTAAAACTGGCCGACTACTCCTCTGATCTGCCTGAGGTGCTTCAGTAAGAGGGCTAGAAATTAAGCACTGCCGTATATAAATATGTTTTTTTGCCAGAAACTCAATGGTTATGTAATCATTAAAATTTATCTCGGTAGAAAAGATCCAATCGTCGAGATTTTCCTCTACAATGAGATAATAGCGTTTTCCCTGTTTACCAATTCAAACTTCCCGCTGAGTAAGAAAACGAAATCTACTTGAGTCAAATTGGGCACTAAACTAATTTTATCGTTTTTTTATCGAATGATTTTCTCAAGGAGCTGCATTTTCTTGTAAAGTTAAAAGATCTAGTCAAAAAGTTTCAAGTAATAACTCCATTCGTGCCCATTGCCGCTATCCGACTACTTTCCTGAATCCGCGTTAAAGTCTCCGAGGTTTTTTCGGTTAGAAATCAAGCAATGCGACACATTTTTTTTTACAAACCGTACCCAAATGAAATCACCCCGATCGCATAAAAAGCATCACTTCTCAGGCAAGTTTTCCGTCTATGGTTATCCTGGCAGCGGGCCGCTTATGGACATCGGTAGACAAAGCGATATACAAAGAAGACAAAAGGGATATGGAGGTATCTTAGTAGTGGAAACGAGTGGTTGTAATAGACGAAGGAGGTAGGCAATAGACTAACTAACGGCAACCCACGAGAGACCCTACAGTTAGTCCATCATTTTCTCTAAGTCTATAGGAGCCACCCACCTCTATATTCCTCTATATTCCCTGTGTCTTCTTTGTCTATAGCTTTGTCTATCAGTTTTAATAATCAGCAAATCAGCCGCCCGCAATTCACTCTTCTTTACAAACAATAAAGTATACGATCCCCAAGAAGTTTGCAATTGAATCACGCTCGGCCATAACTCGGCTACAAGTCGAATTTTTCCCCGACGAGCATCCCATTCAGCGTGATCTCGCCGTTCGGTTCCAGTAGGAGTAAAAACCCCGATTTTTTTCTTCTCGTGGCGGCTAATAAAACACAAGCTAATGCGCGGCAGCCGAGCAATTGAGCAGAGTTCAAACTCCTACGTTCCAAGTACGGAAAAATGAGGACGAAAAAGGCGGCGGGGAACCGGGAGGGGTTTAGTGTTGACGTCGATCTCGGGTATCAACACAGTCGTCTGTCACTCCAATTATTGTACTTCCCCTCCGTGCTCCTCCGCGCTCCATTCCAGAGATCGGAATTCGAAGGTTTTGGATTCTGAATCACTCGCAGCACCGCGCCGCTCCTTCAAAGAGAGAGTCCAGGACCCAGTCGCCGCTGTCCGTAAAAACCGCGTATCTACTCGTGATTCCTGCAGGATATACGCGGTTGTAGCTGTAGGACAGTCGGCCGCCCGGGGATAACGAAGGGCAGAATCAAATTGGATTGATCAACGGTGGATTAATTCGTTGCTCGAGTTTTCGGATTTTACATCGATCCCGAGGTTCAAATTAAGGGTCACGGAGGTTTTTTTTGTTTTCCCGAGGCAGCTCGTTAGGCTCGAGCGTGGTCGACAGGTGTAAGGGACGGATCTGAGGATTCCGCGCGGGACAGTGGTCGATTATCGATATCGCCCTATTCGAAGCTGTGGTAAAGAATCGATTATTAGGCGAACACCCCGTTATCGATTCTTTTCCCTAGGTTTAAATGGAAGATCAATCGATATGTCGCGAAGTATACACGGATTCTCGGGCACGATTTGGTCCCTACGCCGGGAATGCCGGGATAAACTCGTTGTCACCGCTGATCTCCAGGAGGATTGAACGGCTGTCTTGTCCCGACGAATTTCTCAGTAAAATGAGCCGCGCTCCCCGTCTTATCAACCCTTGCTCGCTCATGCACGGAAAATCTGAGTTAGCTCGCTCTGACGGATAGTATTTCCACTTGATCGTCTCCTCGCCGTTGCGCTGCTTCGACGACGTCAGGTGATTTCCAGTGGCGTGGCGTGAATTGCGATGTATCGATTGTTATGCCATTTAAACCCATGGTAAAGAATCGATTATTAAGGTGTTCGCTGCGAACACCCTGTTTATCGATTCTTTTCCATTGGTTTAAATGGCCGATCAATCGATATATCGCAAAGCACGCCACGCCACTAGTGATATCCGAAATCTTTCTACCGCTTCGAGGTTACGCACGCGTTTGCTCGAACAACTCGGCAACCCTGTTTTAGTTACTCACCGGTGCCTGAAGGATGAACCCCGAGCTGCCTTTTGTGGTTCCACCGACGCGAGTTTCGAGTCCGTAACCTGAAGAATCAGTGAATTCCGATAATTTTGAGCTTCGTCCGGTATTTTCTTTCTCGGTTTTTCTTCCCAAGCTTTTCCGTCCTTTTGAGCAGCTCCATTAGTGCTTGGGCTCGTTGGTTTACCCCACTTTTAGTGCATGAGTGATAATTTATTTAGGAACGGGATTAAAGTATTTGACGTCAGTGCACATGAGACCATGCTTAATCGTCTGCGTGCATGAACGACTGAATGTTTTGGTGCATTGTATTATTTGGAAATATTTCCTCCAGAACGACTGAACTTTAGTGGATATCGGTGAGCTGCACAAAATATCATCGGCTTAGTAGGAAATCCAGTCAAAACTAGACTTGAATCAATAATCTTAAAAGATACACCGAAAAAAAGTCTCTTGCATCCAGAATTCCAGAGCCCAGACCCTTGAAAATGTGACAAGAAAAAATACTCTTGATTCAATTGGATTTTTGCTTGAATCTCGCGAGCCAAACCTTTCAATCGGAGCATGTTTTCTTTTGATTTAAGCAAAAATCCAATTGAATGAAGAAAATTTTTACTTTTCCATGTTTTTAAGAGTCTAGACTCTGAATCCAAGCGACTTTTTCGCCCTCCTTACGGATAGAGGAAGTATTGTCGTCCAAGGGGTAAATAAAATTTGAAAATCATCATTTCTAGACGTTTTAAGGTCTATGGAGTCAAAATAACCATACTTTAAAAAATGTGTGTCCGTTCGTCCGGCCCCTCAAATCCATGTACAGCCATATCTTAAAATCTATTGGGTAAATTTCATTCAGAATTTGCATGGAAGACCATGTCTATGGTATCCTCCTGCAAGTCAAGCGATTTTTCTTCCAGTGTGAAAAAAATGATTGTGTGTCATCGGTTGGACTAATTATTCCAACAGGTCTGCGGCAACGAGTGTTCCCAAGAATCGCAATCTAATTAAATGGGTGTGTTATTCGGACCTTACGCATGGAAACTTGTTAATTTCTGAATCGTTACCTACCGGAACGGTACGGCATTTTGCGCCGCGCTGCGCCGTGAACGTGCGGGCTCGGAGATCCTATTTTAAGGATGTTTACTATGCCCCGTAAATGACGGTCGGCCAGGAATCTAGACCAGCGACAGAGATGCTTCATGCAGAGTCCGCAGACGTAATTATGCTTATTCGCGGGAAAATGTATCTCATCTCGGTAACGGAAAGACGATCTCCGAGTGAATTCGTTAGGCCTCATTGCGTTCCTCAATTAAGAAACTAACTCCTCTCCTCTCCCCGGAGCTCGGGCTCCGCGCAAGCTCTTGACGAAAATAGTCGGCATTCCGGGTCAAATAAAATTCCTCATTTTTTCTCTCTCCTCCTTCGTTTTTCTCTCTCCTTCTCCATTTTTCTCGTGCTTTCTTCGCGGTCCTCTTTTTCTCTGTCGCTCCTTTTCCACCGGGCGTTTGTCAGCAACGTCGACACCTCCAGCTGAGACTTCAAAACTGACCCTCTTCGCCATGATATACTGAAACTGACAGCTCATTCCTGGCATAGCAGCCTCGATTACCATTAGTTTCTTCAGCAGTCAAAGAAACGAAATATGGGCAGACGAATCTCAAAATTCCTCGTGTTTGAATCTACGCCAGTGAAACTAACACCAAAACGTTAAGAAACGCATTTTTCGTGTAATTAATATCTCTCGGTGCTTTCCTCTAATTTGGAGATTTTTTCGCTGCCTGCGATCCGAAATTCTTCCCTTTCGAGATTAGCCTTGAGATCATTTTAATGTATTTCCTTGAAATATCAAAAAACTGACACCTGCTACAACATTCTTCCCTATCGACATTGAGTTTTGGATGGTTTTAATTTTTTTCCTTGAAACATCAGCAAACATATAGCTTTAAAATTTCAACCCCAGAAAAATGACTCGACTTCAGAGAACGCGGTATGAAAATCCTCGTCTGATCAATTGGTTTGTTTCTTTCTTCTTTCGTATTTTCTACTATTTTTCTTTATCGACGGTGTAAGTCAACAATCACATAACTCGGTTTGCGATGCGTCGCAAACTTCCTGTCATACATTATTTTTTAAACGGAAAACCACTCAATGGCAATTCTTTGTAACTGCTGCGATTTTTCTTCTCTGTGCGAAGAAAATTCTGCATAAACTTCAAGGAATGATGTCAATTTGTCCTTATTTAAAGAAACAACAGAGAGGCGGAGATTTTCAGACACCGCAAACGAGATATGTGATCGCGGACTTACGCCGTCGTTATCCCCATAGTAATTTTTTTCTATTGTAAGTATGTCATCCTTTAATTTTCAAAAATTTCATGAGTGGAGCCTAATTTTGACTTTTTATTTGGTTGCAGAGTGTGGTTATGTTAATGTTCCGTGAAGAGAAGAGTCCAGAAGACGAGATCAAAGCGTGGCAGTTCTGGCATGGGAGGCAGCATAGTGTCAAACAAAGGATATTAGATGCAGGTAAGCCTCTTCAAGATTTAAAAATAAACGAATGACGTCATCTCACTTTTTCGTCTAGTTTAAGCTTGAAAGATGTATCTCTTCTCCTTTTTCTAATATTACGGTTGATTTTCAAACTATATGCTTGGAGATAAAAAATCATCATAAGGATACAAGTTGTCTCCACAAGGTTATAACGCGTAATGGAAACTTTCTCAATCCTCGATACGAGGGCTAGTGCCCTCTAGTCCGCGCTTTCTAAGCGGTCAAACTATGCCCTATCTCAGTGGTCAACGCGACTATATTCAGTATTGCCGGCCGTGTAACTGGGTCGAATTTTAAAAAGGGGAGTTAACGCAGTTTTTGAGAAAAGAGAGGACATTTTTAAATATTTATGCATTCTTCCCAGCCAAAAATTCAGTCAATCTAGAGGAAATATTCAATATCTGAATGTAGGTCGAGAGAGGTCTCATGAAGAAATACGACTGGATAAATATTTTTTTTAACTTAACCTCATTATGGATTATTCCTCTTTCCCCCAATTTGGGCTGCAACCGTCGCACTGAAAAAAAAAGTTACGGGCTGTACAGCATACCGTCCATCCCGGGTTCAGAGGCCGGAAGTTCCGGGTGCTGGAGCCGTAGCTTAGATTACTCCGGGTGCTACGTCCGGAACTTTCGGCCTCTGAGCCTGGAACGCGGACGGAATGTCCATATAGCTCGTAAGTACGGCTTCCACGGCCGGAGTTTTTTCTGTCAGTACGCTAAACGCGCTATGTCCTTTTCTGTAACGAGTTCTCATGTTCGTCGATTATCTATAAAGACACAATTATTTTGAATACTGGATAAACAATCAAGTATTCCTGATTAATTTTAGGAACAACGAATGTGCCATCAGTTCTTTTATGCAAGTAAATTCTTATATGCACGGGGCAGAAATGGTGGTTTGCAAAATGCAATCCAATCGATCAGATTCACCAAAGTCATTTTAATCTGAACTTCGGTTTCCATGACCGGAGACTACGGTCATCGGAACCGGAACCTCAAAGCGCGACACGAATCCGAGTTGGGTCGTTTCAACCGATGTTGTTTCTTCGCGCGTGGGAACCCCCAGTAGCATGTCCTAGATCCCCGTATCGGCTCACACACTAAAAGCGTTCCCCAAGTCCTACAAGGATATTTTTTTTCCGGGGAGCCGACGTCGGACAAGGCCAACGGTGTTCTTTCGCCGCGGCCAACCTAAAACGCGAAGCGGGGCCTCGCTGACATCGGTTAGATTTTAGGTTAAGGCACCCGACCCGCGGACCGAAAATGAAGTGCCGTGTTCCTCGATTGAACTTGACCTCTCTTCGGTTTGAGTTGTTAACGAAGCGACAAGTAGCTCGAACTCGCCGGGGCAATTAGTCTTCTCTCTGCAGCGCGCTGAAAGTGGTCAGATGAACAGCAAGTGCCGTACTCCGTGCCCCGGACGGCGGACAGCGCGGCGTCGCGCGTCGTCCCGTGCGTTGCGAAAGTGGACCGGACCGGACACTGCTGCGTTAGGCCGTTAGCTCCGCCGCTGGATGATGGATACTCGTAAGCCACCGATGCAACAGTTAGATCCGGCCGGGCTCGCGCATGCGTCCACGCATTCTATGCACCTTTATTGCGCAACGCGCATCTCCAGGCCCCGGGCCGCGGGGAAACTCATCGAAAAGGCTAAAGGTCACCGGCGGCGCGCGCAAAGGGCTCGGGGCTAATAAAGATATTGAAAATGCCTTGTATGAATGCGAAGACAAAGAAAGAATAGATGCGAGAAGGAAGAAAAGAAAGAAGAGAAGAAGACGAAAAAGAAGATGAAGGAGAAGAAGAAGGAGAAGAAGGAGAAGAAGGAGAAGGAGAAGGAGAAGGAGAAGAAGAAGAAAGCCAAACAAGAAAAAAAGGTTGGCGGGGAAGCTATTGTCTGCTACCTTTCCATTCCAGAAATCCAGAATGGACTTTTTCAGCGATGTGTTTGGTCAACTTCGATTGATTTCAAGGCATTTCTTGAAATATGTGGAATGTTTGCTCCTCCCGCCATCAAAGTCCAATCATCTGTGATGCAAAATATGTAGCCAACGCAAAACACATATCCAATTGAATTAATCATTATTGCTGCACAGAGAATGTTCCATGGCCTACCTGGAATATTGAAGGCGAAGTAGAAACATTACAGGCAAAGTGCAAAACCTTCATACCCTCGTCATGTCAATTCTGCGTCCTCAAAATTTTCTAGCCTCTGAAACAAAAAGAGAGAGGATGTGTAGGAAGAAGATTACGAAGGAAAAGTTTAAGTAAATAGTTACAAGAAGTAGAAAAGAGACGATAGAATTGGAAAGGCATAAAAAGCAAAAAACGAGAGAAAAAGGACAAGAAAAAGGAGGTGGCAGTTAAGGAAGCGAAAGAGAAAGAGCAAGACGAAGGACTAGTATGTGGAAAGGAAGAATAGGGACATGGACAAGAAAACGTTAGAGGTGAAAACCTCATTGCTATGGGTGACTCCTTCAATCACGGGGATCAGGCCGGGTTCGAGAGGCGATTGACCTAACGCACACCGCGGCGCGGCGAGGTTCATAAAAAATTGGTTTGTTTTAATGAGTCACCGTGGCTGACAGGATGGTAATGGTCAGTCGATAACAAGTAGCGTTCCATCGGCGCGCATGTGCTAGCTCGCGCCTGTGCGGTATAGTGGCACTTGCAGCGTGTTGGCGCTTCTCCGGTGGTGGTGAAGCTGGTCCAGCGGTCCAGCTCCGCAATAACCAGTATCTGCCCCTGGAGCGCACAGCACGCCAACTTCGTGAAAGTTCCCCTCCTCGCCGCGCCTCGCGCCTCCCTTTCGCAGTCCTACCATTTCGCATTTAAATACGTCTCACGTTTTATGAGCTCTCTATTCACAAACAAACGGACCGCCGTCACCTCACGCATGCTCACTTGCGTCTCTCCGAATCCGAGCGGCAGGTCCGAACATCTCATTTGCAGCGCTGCAAGGAGAGTCGCGTACACGAAGGCCCACGATTAAACGTCGACATTTTTAGAATCGACCATGTGGGTCCAATTAGACTTTCAATTACCTCTCCGCGTATGGGAGGCACACGTGAACCCGGTTTCGTCTCTTTGTCACTCAAAGGCAACCTAGAAAGTCGAGGACGAAGTAGTTACCTGGCCAAAAAAATGAAATATAAGTTTTTCTACGGGGATGGATGGATTCCGGGGATAGTTTGAGTCTAAGGAATACGAAATACAGGGGGTTATGCCCGGGATGTTTGTTACTCACGTGAGAGGAGAAAACCGAAAACATCGCAATTTTTTATTTTAACCCTTAGTTTGAAACCACCTTAGTCTGAACCTGGAGATTGGTTTTCGTGTATGAAATTAAATTGCCCGATTAAATTTGGCAACAGCAGATGTGGCTTAGTTCCTTTCTGCTGAACTCGGTCCAGACTAGACTGAACTGGAGTCGACGACATTTTTTTTCGCCGTAAGGGTCTTCATGGTACCCAATGCTCTTATACTCTCTCCACGAAGGCACGCCGGGCACAGCAGCACACCGCCGTGCTAAGGAAGAACGTCGTATGAACATTTGAGAGTTGCCTAATTTCTCTCGGTGAAACATATGCTTTTGACGACATTCGCGCATATTTATCCTTGAAACTTCCAGATATTTTAGATTAAATTTCGCTCGAAACTGTCTGAAAATTTTGGAAAATAATACTCACAATTTTCCCAGTAATTTCGGTTATTATCAGGGAGATTTGGCAACATCTGAAGGCTCATACGGCGTTCTTCCTCAGCACGGCAGCACAGGAGCTCAAACGTCACGCTTTTCAGAGTACCGACATAGCAGTGCTCCCATTTCCCGAAACTAGTTCCGAATTTCGGATTTTTTGAAATTTTCCTGAATTTTTCCCGGAACTTTTTAAATTTCCGAAATGTCCCGGATCTTTTGCATTTTCAGGAATTTTGTCTACAAATTTTGGGGGGGAAAATATTCACAATCTTCCCAACAAATTAGGTTTTTATATTGAAGGAAATTTGGCAACGTCTGAAGGCTCATACGGCGTTCTTCCTAAGCACGGCGGAGCAGATCGCGGTATTTACTTTGAGCTGCGCATGCATCCGCGAAGCGCGCGGAGTGCACAGTAGATGCACAGAAGCGGCGGAGTCGAATGGTGAGCATGCCGGTGGAGGCTGCGGTGGATGCGGTGGCTGCGGCGGCGGTCGGCGTTCCCGGCCGCAACCGGGTATCGACTATCGTCAACGCGGTGACTGATGAGTCTCGTTTCGCATCGATGATGGATTGGCCTGCACAAGTGCTGCACGTCTCACCATTATTGATTCTGCTCGCGTTTGTACAACAAGTCTGCATCTAAAGCACCGCCTCTTCTGCCCCGAGCAGCGGCCGACCAGACGCAACGCCACGCAACCCAGCGCCGCGGCCCTCGACCTTCTTCCAGCCCCCATCCCTCGGCGTCATAGCCAGATTTTCCCATCAAATCCCCGTACCGAGAGAGTATGTTTTAGGCGTTTCGAAAGGACAGTTGGAGACTTAAACACTCGAATAGAAAGATCAACTGGATTATATTTTGCAATAAGGAACCACTATCATTGGTCCTCCCATAAAAGCCCTTATCTGCAAAGGGAAACCAATGGCATGTATGTTTTTTCTAAAATGGGCCAGAAATAGTGGTTCCTTATTGCAAAATGTAATCCAACTATCCGTGAGTACAGAGACAAGGGGCACAGATCCATAAAAAGACAATGTATTTTCGGCGTTTCAAAGGGACAGTCGGAGACTTAAACGCTTTGATAGGAAGATCAAGTATCCTGAATAGTAGACTTACAGAGACAAGAGACACAGATCCACAACGAGACAATATATTTTAAGCGTTTCAAAGGGACAGTTGGAGACTTAAACGCTCGAATAGAAAGATCGACTGTCCTAAAATTGTAGAAATATAGAGACATGGGAGAGAGACTCATTAAGAGACGATATATTTTAGGTAT